GAGCATTTTTTCATGTGTCGGTTGGCCATCTGGATGTCTTCTTTGGAGAAATGTCTATTCATGTCTTTTGCCCACTCATTCACTGGTTTGTTTTTTGGGTGTTGAGTTTGATAAGTTCTTTATAGATTTTGGATACTAACCCTTTATCTGATATGTCGTTTGCAAATATCTTCTCCCATTCTGTTGGTTGCCTTTTAGTTTTGCTGATTGTTTCCTTCGCTGTGCAGAAGCTTTTTATTTTGATGAAGTCCCAGTAGTTCATTTTTGCTTTTGTTTCCCTTGCCTCCGGAGACGTGTTGAGTAAGAAGTTGCTGTGGCCAAGGTCAAAGAGGGGTTTGCCTGCTTTCTCCTTGAGGATTTTGATGGCTTCCTGTCTCACATTTAGGTCTTTCATCCATTTGAGTTTATTTTTGTGTATGGTGTAAGAAATTGGTCCAGGTTCATTCTGCAGGTCGCTGTACATTCATCTTTTTTTTTATAGATTATTTTTCTCTTTGTTTTTGGCTAAAGATTATTTATTTATTTATTTTGAGAGAGAGAGAGAGTGTGCACACACAAACATGAGAGAGAGAGAGGGAGAGAGAGAATCCCAAGCAGGCTCCGTGCTATCAGCACAGAGCTCAATGAGAGGCTCAAACCCACCATGAGATTATGACCTGAACCAAAACTAAGATCCAGACACTTAACCAACCAAGCCACCCAGGTGTCCCTATAGATTCTTTAACAAACTTATAGAGAATATTTTCTTTTTTTATGGTTTTAAATAATTATCTATTAAAATTTTTTTCAATATCTATTTATTTTTGAGAGAGAGAAAGAGTCTGAGCAGGGGTGGGCAGAAGGAGAGGGAGACACAGAATCCAAAGCAGGCTTCAGGCTCTGAGCTGTCTGCACAGAGCCTGATGTGGGGCTCGAACTCACAAACCATGAGATCATGACCTAAGTGGAAGCTGGACACTTAGCCAAATGAGCCACCCAAGTGTCCAACAATCATCTATTTTTTTATGTTTTTTTTTAAAGTTTTAAAAATGTATTTTGAGAGAAAGAGAGAGCAGGGGAAGGGCAGAAAGGGAGAGAGGATCCCAAGCAGACTCCTCCCTGTCAGCTCAGAGCCTGAGGCGGGGCTCAAACTCTTAAACTGTGAGATCATGAACTGAGCTGAAATCCAGAGTCAGATGCTTAACTGACTGAGCCACCCAAGTGCCCCTATAGTGAATATTTTATATCCATATCTGCTAATTCTAACATCTGAATCATTCATTAATCATTTTCTACTAACTGTATTTTCTTTTGGTGGGTTGATCAGGCTATTAGTTTTTAATGAATACTGGTCAGTGTGGATGATAAGTTTTAGAGACTCCGGATTCTGTTATTTTCCACTACAGAGTGTTGCGTTTTGTTCTAGCAAGCAATTAAATTGGCAGGTCACTTTGATTCTATGCAGTCTGGTTTGTTTGTTTGTTTATATTATTATTTTTTTTTAAATATAATTGTCAAATTTGTTTCCATACAACACCCAGTGCTCATCCCAAAAAATGCCCTCCTCAATGCCCATCACCCACTTTCCCCTCTCCCCCACCCCCCATCAACCCTCAGTTTGTTGTCAGTATCCAAGAGTCTCTTCTGGTTTTATGCAGGCTTGGTTTAAAGCTTTAATAGGGGGCGCCTGGGTGGCGCAGTCGGTTAAGCGGCCGACTTCAGCCAGGTCACAATCTCGCGGTCCGTGAGAGTTCGAGCCCCGCGTCAGGCTCTGGGCCGATGGCTCAGAGCCTGGAGCCTGTTTCCGATTCTGTGTCTCCCTCTCTCTCTGCCCCTCCCCCGTTCATGCTCTGTCTCTCTCTGTCCCAAAAATAAATAAATAAACATTGGGGAAAAAAAATTAAAAAAAAAAAAAAGCTTTAATAGGTCTGGTCTATTTCAGTTTTGCTCTGAGTTCCGTGAGATTTCAACGGAAAGACCAAGTTGTTTGCACAGCCCTTCCCACTTGTCAGAACTTGAACTCCAAACTCTGTCTTCCCAGTACTAGACAGCTGCTGAGGTTGCTGCTCAGCCTTTGTTAGCCTTCCAGCTGATGTTTCCATCTGGGCTTCTTAGGGTCCCACCTCATAATTGCATAGTTCCAGAATCAGCTAATGATTTGAGGGGGATTTGTATGTAGATGTGGCAGCTTCCCTTTTCCTTGTCCTCTTCCTTTCCAGGACCTCCTCCTGTATTTCCAGCTGTATTGGCAGCCTCAAACTCTGAACTCTCCCTGATTGTTCAGCCCGCTTAGATTGCAGTTTTCTGCTTGAGCCATTTCCCTTTTGTACTGGAAAATGTGCCCACAAAGGAAAAGCCAGTTAAGGGTGGATCTCCCCTAATCTCACTTTGTTTTTTTCAAGGATCATATGCCCTCCAGTTTTTGCCTGATTTTTGGTTGCTCTCCAGAATCTTCAAGGAGTTTTTTTTTTAAATATTTTATCCAAAGTTTGTTACTATTATTGGCTGGAGGGTTAATCTAATACAAATTAGCCCACCATTATAGAATGCAGAATTCTTCAATCTTTCTGTAGGTTCCCTGCCAGCTCCCCTTGGCTCTCTCATGTTTGTTTGCTTGTTTATTTTTTTGATAGCATACTGTTTGTGTTTCATGGATACTGTATCTTTTTTTACTCCTCTGAGGATATTTATAGCATTTTCTGTTTTTTAAGTTTTCTTCTCCATGAATAGTCTGTTTCTTCCAATTTTAATTCTTCTCTTTGTTCTTTGTTTTGGCCTCTGACGTTTATGTTGCAGGTTTTTCCCTGGTGACCTGTGGTTGTCTACGAATGTTTAAGAGTAGGGGAATAGAATCAGATTGAAAGCTCTGTGCTCTGCTTATGGGGGGAGATTGTAGTACACTTCCCAGTATGGTGATCAGGCTGGACTGTTTGTTCGGTGACTCAAGTGCCACTATCTCATAGGCTGGTCTCATAGGCTGGTCACATTTCCCAGAGAAGATTCTTCCTATCTATCTTAGCCCATTTGGGCTGCTATAACAAAATACTGTGGATGGATCACCTTCAAATAACATAAATGTAGTTCTCACAGTTCTAGAGGCTGGGAAGTCCAAGATCAGGGTGCTGACATGGTTGAGTTCTGATGAAAGCCCTTTTCTAGGTATCAGACTGCTGACTCTTCTCTGTGTCCTCACATGGTAGAAGGGGCTAGGGAGCTCTGTGGGGTCTCTTTTATAAGAGGCTTAATCCCACCCATGAGGATTACGCCCTCTGAGCACTTCCCGAAGGTTACCCCTCCCAATACCATCACATTGGGCATTAGGATTTCAAGATAGGAATTTTGTGGGGGCACAAATGCCATACCATAGAACAGTCTCTCCCCCCAAAGTTGAAGGTTTAGCTGCATGCTTTCTGGGAAGGCTGGAGGTCTCACCACCAGTAGGCGTATGTTCACTTGATTCCTCAGGTTTGGAGTAGCCAGCCCTGCCCTCAACTGTGCTTGTTGCCTACTGTCCCCTAGGACTGAGACCCTCTGTCGGGTCCTCTTCAGAGGATACACACTCAGACTTGTGGGAGGCAGGCAGTTGCGTAGGGGTATGGAGTCAGGAGGGCTTCTCGGGGTCCAGCTGCTTCTCAAACAGCCTTCAACTAATCTCCCTGCTTCAATATCTCTCCCTCACTGCCAGAGGTCTCTAGTGTTAATTCCTGAGCCACTTGTGGGCCCTTCAGACAAATCGGGTTCTTGGCTTTCCACACTGCCAGCTTCAGGTTTGGCTTTCTTGAGTGCATAATCTGTTATCACTCGTTTATCTGCTTTCCAGCCTCCAAAGTTCTGATGGTGGCTTCTCCTCTGGGTTACAGAAGGGATGGAAATGAACTCAGAATCCAGCAGCTGGAAACCTTCAAGAAGGTTGCTTTCATTGCATTGGTTAGAGTGTAGAATCTCCAAGTCCGTGGACATGAAGTACTTCTGAATAGTTTAAACCGAGAGGGAAATGTTTGTAAAAAAACAAGTGCTTATGAATCAGGGTTAGTATAGACAGAAGTAGCAAATGTAGATTAATGCTTCTGAGAATGTATTTATAAGCAAAAAGGGGAAATGATTTGGGCTATATCATCTAGGAAGGAGACCTGAGAAGGAGTGTCCATTTTGTCCTGGAGCTCTGTGCTGTGCTGGGGCCTCTGTGTCTGGGCCCCGCATATGGCTCTTGTTCCTTGCTTCAAGGAAATGCGGTGGGACTCAGGAAGCTCTAAGCGCGGGGCAGTGAAGTGATAGCCTTGCAAGGGCAGATGGTAAGCACTGGGATTCTTCAGCCAGGAATGCAGAGAGGTGACATATCTCAAAACCACGGCCAGCGTGAAGAAGCCAGGTGTGAACCTAGATGCCAGAGGGTTGCTTTTGAAACTGAAGCAGGTAAGTTTGGCACAAATAAAAGAAAGCACAGTTCACCAAGGCAGGTCAGAAACTTGGGAAACTATTACAAGTGGCTCTTCTTGCAGATGGCTTAATTCCACAGGGGCTGGACCAAAAAATGAATGACAGAGCACCCCCCCCCTCACCCCTGCAAAAAGAGAGAGAGAAAGAGAGAAAGAGAGAGAGAGATTTTTCTAAGAAATATCAGAGGCTCTGACACATACATAACCCTTCACTTAGACACTGAAGAGGACAGTATGCTCTTACTGGGATGGATGGAAAATGGGGCAGCTTGGTGTAGTAGGGAAATCTTGACCTGTATTAAGAAGATCTGGGTTCAAATCCTCAACTTACTCACTGTATGACCTCGAGCAAGTTCCCACCCTTTCTGATGCTCACAAGGTTCTGATGAAAGTTAAATCATGCAGTTATATATCCCATAGTAAGTTCAATAAGGCGAATGTTAGCCTGAGTCCTAAACTCAATTATCTGGGTTTTTATTTAACACATATTTGCCAAGCCCTATCAACTACCAGGCTGTGTACATATATCTCCCCTATTCTAGAAAGGCTCATGAAGTGAAGGCGCAGCTCTGCTCCATCCTGCAGACCTTCCTCAGGATGGCGGGAGGCTGTGAAGGTGAGCGTCCCTTGTCCTCTCCTGGTTGCAGAGTGGCATGTGATGGGAGAGCATGTCTGAGCACTTCCTTGGCTGGGGCACCTGGTCCCATCTCAGCAAACAACCCCCAGTGCCCTCCCAGCCACTTTCCTAATAACCAAGCAAAAGGTTTCACAACCTTGTGAGTGATACCAGATGATGATGATGTGGTTTACAGGCCACTTCTGCTTTTCGTTTACTTGTTTCTGTTGAGAGTCTCTAGATAACCCACCCTGGGAAGGAGAGTTAAAGGTTTTGGGGGGAAGCAGAGGGGGTGGGAAGGAGGGGTCGCTATGACACTGTGGGTGTTTGGGGTTCACTCCCCTCCTGTAGGAAAATGTGTTCCTAGCCTCTGAGTGCCCACATCACCGTGATGAATTATGGTGACTTCAGATCACGCTGTGTCTCCTCCAGGCTAATTGTGCTCCCCACTCCTCAGTATCTGCTCAGAGACGTTCCGCGATGTCGGTTTGATAAGCCCATCAGCACCTGCCTGGTATGCTGTATGCCTTGGCCGTGACCACCAAACCCGCCCATCCAAAACCCAGCTTTTAAGATACTTCAGTGTCATTCACATATTTTCTTGGCCTCAATTGGACTTCCCTCCAGCCTTAAACTACCCTGTGAGCTTTTATGTGAATTAATGCCAGACCGCCTTTCCTTGAAGTCTGTGACACTGTTGGTGGGAAGGCTGATTCTGTCCTTGCTCGCGCCTGGCCTCCTCCATCAGAACTCTTTTAACTTTGACCCTGTCTCTCTCCTTCCCCAGAATTCACATGCTGCGTGTCGGACTGAGCTATCCCTGTTTCATCCTATAAGCCAAGACTCGCTACACTGTCCTGCTGATGTTCACAGTCGTGCCTGGGAAGGAGGCAGCCCCATTTCCAGTACATCTCAGTGGCAGACAGACACATGTGCCCCCTGGAGACTCGGTGGGGCAGGGGAAGAAACTGTGGGAGTACACGTCCCCAAAGCTGCATCTCCATGTGTGAATCCGTGTCACCTCGCTTTCCTCTCAGAGACCTCACTGTCCCACGGCGGGACCTGCCTGAAAATTGAGGGGACGAGGGAGCCCCTGCACCTCCTCCTTCTCTAGCCCTCTGCTCCTAGGCCCAGCGGCTCCTCGGGCAGCGGGGCTGCTGAGAGCTCAGATCTGCGGCTGCCCTGCATGTGTCCGCTCAGCCCTGTTGTAGGCACCACGATGGTGTACAGGAGGGACATGGCATCTTTCTGAATGGATTTTTCTTAAGAAATGTGCCAGTGTTTATGCTGTTCATGATATCCCCCCATCCTTGCCGTTACTGTCACTTGGCTTTCTCTCAATAGGCTTCATCTTTATATTTTTTAACGGGGAAATTTTGCTCCCACCCCTGCATTCTATATTCGGCTCCCCCTCCTCCACCCTTCCTAGGTACAGAATTATGAGATTCTGACAGAAAAATAAGAAAATCGTTTTTGGTAAGCCTGTGAGCTCTTCATATCATGTGTTCTATTGTCAGAGAGAGGCTGGTGTCCTGCTTGGTTCTCCCTGGTCTCAGCTCCAGCAAGAGCAGGTGTTTAAACGGAGTCGAGCGTGTATATCACTGTGACAAGCCATTCGCGTACTGCCCTGTTCCCTTACAGCCCAGCCAGCCTCCAAGGACTTGCAGCCAGGTTGGTCCTTCCACGAGTCACAAATCACCCAGGTTTGTTTTAAGCAGACGGAATCTGTTTGGCCTACGAGGGTGAAGTGAGAGATCTGTGTGTGCAGGTGAGTGTGTATGTATGACCACGAGCCCCCCACCTTTCTGGCCCAGACAGTTCTGTGAACACATGTGCCTAGGCCCCGGGAGACGTGCCTGTGACCCGGTTTTCGCTGGCTTGGGCTCTTCCTGTCTGCCCTCAGCACCAGCCCTCGCTGGCACGGCAGGCTGGCCATTCTGCGGCTCTGTGCACACAGCTGCAGGGGCAGGAATAGCTTAGTGCCCCACACCCCCCCAGGCACATGAGTCTGGCCACTCCCTGTCCTCCATTTCAGGGACAGGCTGCAGGGCACAGGCTCACGGCACCGTGAAGGAAAACTGGAGTCTGGCCTTCCAGCTGTCCCTGGGGTCTGCAGCTGGATAAATGGCCAGACAGCCAGGTGGTTGCAGGACAGAATGACTACAATTGAGTTGACACTCTCCCCTACCTCCACCCCCCCCGCCCTGACCTCCCAAGCAGAGTGCAGTATCGCTAAAATGA